CCTGGCCTCTGTTTGTCAGAGGCTGGAGAGGGATGGCAGGAGACAAATCGCTTGATCATTGTCTTTGGTCCACCCTTTCTGGGGCATCTGGTACTGGCCACTGTCGGCAGACAGGCTACTGGGCTGGATGGACATTTGGTCTGACCCAGTACGGCCGTTCTTATGTTCTTATGTTGCAAACTTATACTTCATCTCTATTCTTTTTCCTACCTCAGTGGCCACCTAATAGTGAAACACAGGCAATAATTAAATACATCACCAGCCTTTTCCCAACCAATTCATTCCTAAAAACTGTAGCTTCCCACTGAAACAACTCAAGTGGGGGCTGACTGCAGTTCATTGTACTCAAGGTCTTTTTTTCCCCCACATTGAACATAGTTTGGGTTTTCTAAGTGTTTTGTACAAAAAGGAGCTGCATCTGGAAAGAGGAGCATGTTTACGCAAAAAGCAGTTTTGCATTATTATCAGTTCTGTTTGAATAACAATTCTTCTCCCTCACCATCAAGTTTCTACTCCCATCTGCTTTCACACCACACTTATCTCACTATGGGTATGTCTGCACAAGAGTGTTCTTTTGGAATAACGCCTGTTGTTCTGAAATAATGCAGTGCGCCTCTACACAGCAAGCTCATTATTTCAAAATAAATTGGAAATAATGGGCTTCTTACTCCAACTCCTGTAAACCTCATTGTACGAGGAGTAAGGGAAGTCGGGGGAAAAGTGCTCTATTTCGAAATCAGTGCTGTATAGACAGCACCAAAAGTCGAAATAAGCTATTTTGACGTAAGCTACACAAGTAGCATAGCTCAAATTGGATAGCTTATTTCAAGGTTAGCTCTGCTGGGTAGACATGCCATATGCTACCATTGAAAGCCACCTCTCTGTGTGTACCACTGATTGAGACGTTAAAGTAAAAAACACTTCTGATGGAAACATTTCCACGAGCCTTAATTTTATGATCTCAAGTTCACTGTGTCTCTCTGATTGCAAAATTGTCAGCTTGCAAACAAAAAGCTGTCTTTTCTAACTGTCAGCACTGCAGACTCAGAGACCTGGGTCCTGAAATTCATCAGGCTGGGCTCTTTCTCTCTCATGCACTTTCACCCGAAATAAAGATAGTAGAGGCCAGTCTGTTATCTTATTGATACCTATGCACATCTGTGGTTGCATATGGGAAATAGAAGTCTGAATATGAAGATAATAGGATTGGCACTTGTGTAATTGAGGGAAGCAAACTTTGGAGGTATAATGAGTGAGGAAGAGGGTTCCTCTTGACTTAAAGTTGACTTTGCCCTGGTGTTAGTTGCAAAAATGACTGCACCAAGCAAACACAAGTGAATATTAGCCCCCATTGATACCATTGTAACTAAGTTACTTTTCAGCAAAAAGCTACACTTCCATCTGAAAGTTTCCCCTTAGAATGCTTAATTACCTATTTATTTTTAGATCATATTTTTAGTTTTTGCATCCTGATTGCACAATACTGAACCAAATGTCTGCTCCTCTTCTAAATCAGGGCATTATTCAAGCAGGTGTTTTGTACATTTACATGCTTGTTCTTAGTCCCAAACTACATTTTCTTTGGTTAGTAAGAAATCTGTTTGTGTTATAAAAATGTTTGCGTGTTGTAAGAAACATTCGATAACTGGAAAGTAGTTGCTGTTTAAAACTTGTTTAGATTTGCCATAGACTTACTTCTCAAAATTGGAAAAATGCCTCTGAAAACATTGACCTAAATCTAGCTAGACAACAACCGATTTGGATCCTCTTAGTTTAGAAATACTAGATGTGTTTTGAAAATACTGCTGGACTATCACATACAGAAAGCACATTGTTACATTTTGAAAACTGCAATGAGAAGGCTTGGGAACTTCACCAAGTGGAGTGCCTTCTAGATTTACATTTGGCTGACAGATCAGAATAATTCCTATCAAGCCAAGATGAGAATCTGGCCAGTTGAAACAAACAATACATTTACTTCAATTTTTGCCCAGTATACATAGAAAAAGTCACATAAAGACATTGGGCCTAATTCAGAATTACTATTACTATTAGTAGGGACAATTTTATTGACTTCAATTATTGGCACATCAGTTTATTTGAATCATATATTAGAGTCCATTTGTTTTTAATAAAAAAAAGACTGAAAATTTCAATGCAAATAATTTCAGTGCAAAATTCCATGTCAGTGCAACAACATAGTTGAGTATTGAATGCCTAAATATAAATAAAAAAATCAGGAAAGCTTGTGGCAAAACTGGAACTACAACCCAGATCTCAGGATTTCATAATGCAATGTAAATGTTAGTTCTAGCAAAGTCCACTCATGGATCTACCTCAATGTATTGTACATGATTATAAATACAATAATTGTTTGAACCTTTTCTGCTTACCTGTGCTGGTTTGCCCAGTGCTTTTGGTAGTTGCTGGGTGAGCTCTCCTATAAAACAATCCGTCACTTCATCCTTGCTCACATTTGTGTTAATAATGAATTTAGGCATCTTTGATTACAAGAGAGCCTTTTTTGTATGCCTTTGTTAAAATCCTCACTGAAGCGCTTACTTGCTGTGTTGTTTCACAGTATACCTGTTTTGCTGCTCCCTCTGCTGTAAAAAGCCCCACTGATGCATAATCATTAATTAGTCTCTCCTAATAGTCATCCGTTCCCTCCCCACCTCCTACTTTGATTCAGTGATAGGGGGTTAGAATGAGGGAAGAGGGTGACTAAGACAGCTGCTGGACCATACAAGTAGGAACTGTAAATATACGACAGTGAGGAAATCGCGTATTTTTCAGTCTCTCAGAAAAAGCAAAACCAGATTTTGTTTGCAATTTAAACAATAATTCTTTTTTGGATACAGACCAATCCTGAAAAATATTTAAAAAGAGAATGTCTGAGAAAATTACAAGTAAGTATAAGTAAGTCAGTAAAAAGAGGGCTTATAATAGGAATTTTTTGCAATGTTCAGTATAATAATAAATGCAGAAACTTTCCATAACTGTAGGTTTTGGAAGCAGTTTACATGGACTAGATTATGAGAAAATAACACAAAGACCATTTGCTGTGTTGGCTGAGCCCAGACTCAGTGGAAGACTCCCATTGCCATCAGTCGACTTCAGATCAGGTCTTCTGACTTTTTCTTTCAGTGGTGCTGTGATTGATAATCTTAAAAGGAAAAGACTAGTCCTTGAATTCGTCATCCAGTATGCTACAAGTGGTCCCACTGTGGCCCACAGGATGTGAGATCGGTGGGAATGCACATAGCAAAAGATACTACACAGAATGACTATGGGTGGCAAAATCGGGTAGGTGTGACTTTTGTTCCTAATGTGGAGTGCTGTTTGGGTTGCCAACCCTCCAGGATTGTTCTGGAGTCTCCAGGAATGAAAGATTAACCTTTAACTGAAGATTATGTCGTGATGAAACCTCCAGGAATACCTCCCACCGAAATTGGCAACCCTGATAGCTGTCCACTCAAACATTGAGTAGGGATGTAAAAAGTCGGTGAAAAGGTAACTGTGTAACCGCTGAAAATCTTAGCGATCACACGTGCTGTAGGCTCTAGAGCAGGGGTGAGCAATCATTTTTTGCCAGGGGCCATTTCACAAATTTTTGATTGGTCTGGGGGTGGAAGAGCATGTGAAGTCTTTGCCTCCCCAGAGGTTCTCCCGAGGCGCCCTGGCCCCGGTGGTGGGAGGAGATTATGTGCCCTCCCCCTTCTGCCCATTGGCCAATCAAGAAATGGGGGCAGGGGAGTATGCAAAGTCTCCTCCCACCCTGCCAGGAGTGCGTGGCACTTCTAAGTACCGCATGCTCCTTGTAGGGCGGAGGAAACTTTGGGCACTTCTCTCCGCCCCCAGACTCTAATTGGGGGGAGGATCTCCCCAGGCTGGATCAACCTGCCTGGCAGTCCAGATCTGGCCCGCGGAGCCCTTTTTGCCCACCCTTGAGTAAGGTGATTTACTACTAGTCTGCCTGTGGGTCTGTATGTTCCTGAACCACTCTCTAGCAATTTGACGATGTCGTTACTTGAGAGCGATGGAGGCTCCGTGTTCTCCTTTCCAGAGGAAGGTGCTTCGTTGGGCAGCTGATACTTAGCATGCTGGTATTCTGCCAGGGTTTACTTTGTTCCCTCCTTTTAGCTAGAGCAAGGGCTAGGATTGGCAACGTCACGATTGTCATGTGACTGAAGGCATCCAACCAAAATGGGCAATCTTACAAAGGGCTGCAGCAAGGCCCTGGGTGAAGGCCCTACCGGGGAAGGCAGCTGAAGCCCTGCCCCTTCTACTCAAAGCCACACCCCTTCCCTGAGACCACGCCCCTTCACATCCTTCCTCCGCAGTTAAGCCCTGCCCAACACCAGTGGAGGACTGGGGAGCCGCATGGCGCAGCCCCAGCCTTCTCCAGTTGCTGGGGAGCTGGGCTGCCGTGCAACACAGCCCCAGCCTCTCCTGGGCGGCTGGGCAGTGCAGGCAGTTTTGGGGAGGAGGGGAGACAGACAGACAGACACCTCCGACCTGGCCCCCAGCAAAGGTGGGGTCAAGGAAGCTCCGCTGAATTCTGAATTGCCTCCCGAGAGGCGGTCGTTAATGCCCCCCCCCTGCAATGGAGGGCCTGCCTGAGGGGTGGTCTAGCTGGGTGTCCGAGGGGACAGTGAGAGGATCAGCCTCCCTGTTGCCCCTGAGGAGCTGGGCCCTGACTGGCTGTGGGCAGCATCAGGCCCCTTGAAAGGCTGTACCAGGGGGACCGGGCCCTGTGCGGAGGGAGCCTGGGAAAGAGCAGACTGCCTCACCCCAGGGATGCTGCAAGAGTCCACGAGGCTGGATCAGAGAGCTGGAGAGACTCTGGCAGCTGGGGTGAGTCTCCTGCTCGGTGGGGGGTGGGACAGTGCCCGCCATGGCCGTGCATTGCCTGAGCTGTTCCAGGGTCCATTCCAGCTCAGGGGGGTCAGTAACAAGAGCTGAGCGCCACTCGCAGCATTCAGCCTCGTAGACATTTCCAGTACACGTATGCCAGTGTCTCTCTACCAGTAGCTGTGTAGATGGCTGCAGCGGTCTGAGGTGTGACCATGTCTCCTTAAAGAGGAATTGAGGTTGTAATCGTGGTTTCATGGGAAACTTCGGAGTACCTTCCTATATGACCCCAGCAATTGTAGTTGGATATGTGATTTCTCACTTCCTCTCCTGAAGAGGTCCTTTGTGGTCTCAGTCTAGGACAAATAAAAATGTTGGAAGGGCTTCTTCGAAGACAGCCTGCATCACAAATGTTGTTGCCTGATGCAAGAATGGAGTTCTCACATTGTTTGTGTATCCATACATATTTAGCTGGGTCTGCCCATCCCGGAGTGTAATAGATAATGCAATTGGCTGCTTATTTTGGAGCCACCAGAAAATTTGTTGAAGTAGTGGGGCTGGGTTGGTATGCAGGAGGTGGGAGACCAATTTTACCAGGATGGAGGTGGGAGACCAATTTTCATTTTCAGATTAAAATAAATAAGCCTAGCATTTTTAAGGGTAGATCTGCAGCTTATCTAGTTATCAGATCAGGTTTTTGGTTTATTTGAGCCGCTGCACTATAAAGTTTTCCTGTTGAGAGCAGCTGAGGTCTCTATCTGACACGGCTGCATTTCAGTGTTAGGTGGAGTGAGTATGTGGCTGGCTCTTTACAGCCCTTTGAGTTGAAAGGCATACTACAAATGTACGAACACTACACTGAAGGGAAGGCAGCGTGTGGTGCCATGCACTCCCGAGGCCTAACAATATTATTACCAGCACTGAAGCTGGAAAGTTTTGCTATACCCACCTCTGCTTTCAGCCCAATCACCTGGCTTGATTCAAGTCTCAGAGACTTGAGAAGGAGGGATGGGCCTAAGACCTGTCATCCAAAAGTTCAACAAAGCCTTCTTGCTCGGATGGGGAAGAGAAGGTATTTGTGTGCTGCGTGGAGTAGAGGAAAAGGCCACTTTTCAGTTTTCAGGGTTAGACAGACTAGGTCATAATCCTTGTTCTCCTAACTCCTTGGCGGTGGCTGTTTATGGTATCCCCTTCTGACTCTTTGGCATTGAAAAGGAGGGTGTCCAACCTTCTACTCATGCATGGACACCCTACCTTTGCCCTTTTTCTGAGGCTGTGCCCTCAGCTCCCTCCATTCCCCCATTCACTGGGAACTGGGGTGCAGGACGAGGCGAGGGCTCCTGCTGTAGGTGTGGGCTCTGGGGTAGAGCCAGAAATAGGGAGATCAGAGTGCAAGAGGGGGCTCTCTTGGGTGGTAGGAGGGGGTGAGCACTCTGGCTGGGGAGGCAGGCTCTGGGGTGAGGCCGGGGATGAGAGGTTTGGGGTGCAGGAAGGGAGTCCAGGCTGGGGAGGTGGGAGTGGAGCCAAGGGATTCTGAATGTGGTAGGAGGCTGCAGGTTGAGGCAGGGGATTGGGAAGCTGGACGAGGTGATGGCTCTGGGGTGGGGCCAGGGATGAGGGGTCTGGTACAGAAGTGGGCTTTGGGTCTGGGGGGCTCAGAGCTGGGGCAGGAGGTTAGGGCTTAGGGGTGGGGCATGGGCTTACCTCAGGTGGCTCCCGGTCAGTAGCCCAAGGGGGCTAAGGCGGGCTCTTTGCCTGTCCTAGCTCGGTGCTGTGTCCAGGTCCGGCTCCTAGGTGGGATGGCCATGAACTGCACTCATTCACGGGTGTTCATAGCTCCCATTGACCATGATCCTTAGATAATCCAACACTTCAGGAGTTTGTATTTCAGTTTCTGATACCCATTTGCACTTTCTCACTGACACAAGATCTTTTCTCTCTCTGGTAGGTTATTTAAGCCAATCTCTGTGCCAGTCCAGGGCTGATCCTGGAGATATTTATTAGTGCACTCCACAGGGTCATGGGAAGCAAGGAAGTTTCCATTACCTTCCTGAAAAGACTATTCCACAGTCAAATTGATTTAATCAGCAAGAAACTTACCCTGATTTTCAGCCTGAATTTTCTTAATTTTATCCAGAACTCTCATGTATGCTTTTTGTGTTGTGTATATATTGATATATTTTAGCGATGTGTGTGTCAGTCTGTAAGCCTGTCTGTCTCCTGTGAGTCAGTTTGTTCAAGAACTCCTCTTAAACGGTGAGAGCTAGGACCACCACACCTGGATGTTGCTGCTTCTTCTCCTAACTTAAAGCAAGGTCAGGTATTGGTTGTGCCAGGAAAATGGGAAGTGCTGGGAATGGGACAGTTTTCCATAACATGGAAAGGGAGGGGGTAGAGAGAGGAGGGATGTGATACTCACAGTCACCACTGGGGGCAAAGTGACCACCTGGGGTAGCTGCACCACAAAGAGTGGCCAGCTGAGGACAGGGCTCATCATGTGGCCTGCCACAGGCTGGGGTAAGTGGTCCCCCATCTCTAACTCCTCCCCCTGTCCCTGAGTAGGCCCTCCTACCAGCACTGCTCGGCTGCCTAGTGTGGCTCCTCCTGCTCTGGGCTGGGCTGGGGAAAAGCCAGTGGACCGACAGGAGGCCTGCGCAGGCTCCCCCTCCACCTCCAAAATTCCAGTTAATCTTTTTGTCCTAAATAATTTCTCTTGATCTTTGATGTTTTATAGCCTGGCCTTCAGATATTTTTAAATTGTCGCTGCTTGTTCTGTTGCAGTCATTTTAGCCACGTTATACCTATTTAGCCTTTTCACATTTTTCCTCATAAATCAGTCCACTTAGCCCCTTTCTGTTTTTTGGTGTTCTTTGCTGAAGTCCTATAATTTGTCAATGTTTTGAAACTGAGATGCTTAGGACCGAACAAAGTATTCCAGGTCTCACTTTAACACAACTCATACAGAGAAAATTGATTCCTTGCTGAGCTGTGTGGTGCTTTGGTATACAACCATCTTTCTTAATGCAAATTGTTGCTTAATTTAATGATACCTGGTATCGTTTCTTTTGTCCTTACTGCTCCTACTAATTAATGTTCCACAGTATTTTTCTGGACTGAATACCATTTTGTTTCCTTCACGTATTTCTAACCTTCCTAAGTGAAGAGCTGAAGAACTGAGTTCTTAACTATTCTCAATGTACAGTTTGGTAATTCATTAGAAATTTCTTGTCAATTGAGTATGTTGCCATTTATAGTTGTCATTTTTAAATTCAAAGCAATATTTTAATCCCAGCCAATAAGAAGTAAGACTAAAGATTTTATTAGAAGCTGTATCAAATGCTTTATTAAAATACAAAAATTATGTTTAGCATAGTCACTTCATCTGTTGTGTTTATACATCTATGGGAAAAAGCAATTGTTTGTGATGAGATGCTCTTTTCCCATTATTTCCATTAATTTTTACTAGCGATAGAGTCCTGCAAGTCCAAGGATATCTGCACTAGGTCCACAGATATTGGCATCTGCAGACCATTTTTGTGACTTGCGGATGGATATAGATTCAAATTTTTCATCTGAGCAGCATAGGTGGCAAGTTATCTGGGCTCAGGGTGCCTGAGCTCCACCCATATTCAGGAATGTGGACCTGGCTCCACCAGGGTTTGGGCTGATGTTATAGGATGGACCAGGGCAACTGCCCCAAGTCCCATGTTTTGAGGGGTCCTGCACTTCAGGTGCATGCTGGGTCCGGAATGGTCTGGGGGACCAGTGGGGAGCCTGATGCCAGCAGTGGGGACGCTGCCCCACAGGCTTCTGGGGTTGAAGTCGGGAAGAGGCAAAGTGGTCGCAGGGGTTTGGGGCAAGAGGAGCAGCAGAGCTGGGAGGAGGAGGAGCAGGTGCTGGCTCGGACCAGGTTACTCGCTACTGCTGGCACCAGGCATTCTGCTAATGCCCCAGACTGCCCTGAAGGGTGGGGCCCCCAAAGCCTCTGGATTGGGCAACTCTGCTTGGATCCATTCTGGGTACCACCTAAAATTCTATAAACCAGCTGCCCAGAAGTTAGACTTGACATGCTTTCTTTAGTTAATTGCAGAGTGGTCCTTTTGCCTTTGTCCCAATCTTCGGTAAATGCATCCAGTTTTTCCATGGTGATTTTCACTTGTCTGGTAAACTCATTAAGGGCCGTGTCTACACAGCAGGGCTTAGCTCAATTTGCATAGCTTATTTCGAGTTATGTGAATTGTGTAGCTTATTCCGAAATTGGGAGCATCTATACAGCACTTATTTCAAAATAGCGTACTCTTCCTCCCACTTCCCTTATTCCTTGTACAGTGAGGGTTACAGGAATTACAGTAAGAAGTCCTCCAGTTTGACAGTATTTCAACATTATTTCAAAACTAGCCGCTTGATCCCCCCAGCTGAGCGGTGCAGAGCGCCGCAGCGGATGAGGAAGGGGGGCAAGGTGCTGATGTACACAGCCAGGGGGTGTGGCCGTGTACGTCAGCGTTACAGACTCACAGACACTGGGCTACTTTATTTTGAAATAACTGCCTGCTGTGTAGACACGGACTAAGTTATTTCAAAATAACGCTAGTTATTTTGAAATAATGTTGCTGTGTAGACGTACCCTAATTTAATTCCCTTGATATGGGTCATCCAGTCTGGCTGAACTGTTTAGTGACCCTCTTTTGGAACCTGTTACCTCTTCTTTATCAATAGCTACTTGACAAGGTCTTCCATTGCTTCCTAAACACACAGTCTTGCTTCTTTCTTATGAACAGTTCTGATCCATTGACTTCAATGGGTTTTGGATCGGGGCCACAATCAATATGAAATGCAGTCAACTTATGTGAATACATAGAAATAATTTCAGGAACTGCACGTTCTTGAGTTGCCTCAACTGTGTGGGGTTTTTTAAGTCCCATTTCTCTGTTTTTTGTAAACTTGTTTCTTTGTTCAATATGAAAGATACACTGTAATATGGGAAACTGATTAAGCATAGGTCTTATGTAAATGAATCCGGGGGCAGGATTGACTAGAGTTCAAATTGAATGCCCTAAGCAGTCTTGAAAATGTTTGGCTATCTGCAGAAAAATAAGACTAAAGCATGAAAAATTTCATCTCTATATAATTTTATCAAAATAATAATAAGACAGTAAAACTAACAGTCCATATTAGGAATATAGTTCAATCTGTTTGCAACAGTGCTTCCTGTCCCTCTAATACATAACTGTTTCCATCTGAGCAGTCAGAATTTGGTACACAGGGTATGTTCTTTAGATAAATTATTTTCTGTGTCCACAGCTTGACTCTTTCCAAAATTTAACTTATTAAATTCCCCTTTAATTTCCATAATTGACTTCCCCTTTGTCTCAGGGAGAAATAGGTAGATGAAGATTGATGAGAACACAAGGATCCCCAAAAAAATAAGGAAGCAGAAAGGTCCAAGGAGTTCCTAAAAACAAAAACAAGAGAAGATTACAAGAAAAATGCCCTTCTGACTCTGAGTTTCTTGGTTCTTGAGTGTAGGGTTATATTTTAGGAATGAGGAAAATTCTTAATTCTGTAATAAAACAGAATCCCCAGTCATTAATGAAGGCGGACTTTTGAATGCATGATCTATTGGGATTGTTAATATCATTAGGTATAGAATTCTGAAATATTTTGCCTTGCCTAGAGAGTCTAATTCTGGGCATGGGATATGTATACCCAAAATTAAAAAGCCACCGTGGTTTAACAACCAGGTAAAAGAAGCAGTGAGAGACAAAAAGACATCTTTTAAAAGGTGGAAGTCAAATCCTAGTGAGGTAAATAGAAAGGAACATAAACATTGCCAAATAAAGTGTAAAAATGTAATACGAAAAACCAAAAAGGAGTTTGAAGAACAGCTAGCCAAAAACTCAAAAGGTAATAACATTTTTTTAAAGTACATCAGAAGCAGGAAGCCTGCTAAACAACCAGTGGTTCCCCTGGACAATCGAGATACAAAAGAAGCACTTAAAGACGATAAAGTCATTGTGGAGAAACTAAATGAATTCTTTGCTTCAGTCTTCATGGCTGAGGATGTTAGGGAGATTCCCAAACCTGACCCGTCCTTTGTAGGTGACAAATCTGAGGACTTGTCACAGATTGAAGTGTCATTAGAGGAGGTTTTGGATTTAACTGATAAACTTAACAGTAACAAGTCACCAGGTCCAGATGGCATTCACCCAAGAGTTCTGAAAGAACTCAGATGTGAAATTGCAGAACTATTAACTATGGTTTGTAACCTACCCTTTACATCAGCTTCTGTACCCAATGACTGGAAGATAGTTAATGTAACGCCAATATTTAAAAAGGGCTCTACTGGCGATCTTGGCAATTACAGACTGGTAAGTCTAACATCAGTACCAGGCAAATTAGTTGAAACAATAGTAAAGAATAAAATTGTTAGACACATAGAAGAACATAATTTGTTGGGCAAAAGTCAACATAGTTTCTGTAAAGGAAAATCATGCCTTACTAATCTATTAGAGTTCTTTGAAGGGGTTAACAAACATATGGAGAAGGGTGATCCAGTAGATATAGTATACTTAGATTTCCAGAAAGCCTTTGACAAGGTCCCTCCCCAAAGGCTCTTAAGTAAAGTAAGTTGTCATGGGAGAAGAGGGAAGGTCCTTTCGTAGATTGATAACTGGGTAGAAGACAGGAAACAAAGGGTAGGAATAAATGGTCATTTTTTGGAGTGGAGAGAGGTAACTAGTGGGGTCCCCAAAGGGTCTGTCCTGGGGCCTATCCTACTCAATTTATTTATAAATGATCTAGAGAAACGGGTGAGCAGTGAGGTGGCAAAGTTTGTAGACGATACTAAACTGTTCAAGATAGTCAAGACTGTGAAGAACTTCAAAAAGATCTCACCAAACAAAGTGACTGGGCAACAAAATGGCAAATGAAATTTAATGTGGATAAGTGTACAGTAATGCACATTGGGGAAAAAATAACCCCAAATATACATACGGCATATACAAATATGATGGGGGTTAATTTAGTTACAACAAACCAGGAAAGAGATCTTGGAGTTATCGTGGATAGTTCTCTGAAAAAGTCCATGCAGTGTGCAGCGGCAGTCAAAAAAATAAATAGGATGCTAGGAATTATTTAAAAAGGGATAGAAAATAAGACGCATATCTTACTGCCACTATATAAAACTATAGTATGCCCACATCTTGAATAGTGTGTACAGATGTGGTCTCCTCACCTCAAAAAAGATATTTTGGCATTAGAAAAGGTTCAGAAAAGAGCAACTAAAATGATTAGGGGTTTGGAACGTATCCCATATGAGGTGAGGCTAAAGAGACTGGGAGTTTTCAGTTTAGAAAAGAGGAGACTGAGGGGAGATATGATAGAGGTCTATAAAATCATGAGTGGTGTGGAGAGGGAGAATAAAGAAAAGTTATTTACTTGTTCCCATAATATAAGAACTAGAGGACAACACTAAATGAACTTAATTGATAGCAGATTTCAAATTAGTTTTATTTAAAACTGATAAAAGAAAGTTCTTCTTCAAACAGCTCACAGTCAACCTGTGGAACTCCTTGCCAGAGGAGGCCGTGAAGGCTAGGACTATAACAGAGTTTAAAAAAGAGCTAGATAAATTCATGGAGGTTAGGTCCATAAAAGGCTATTAGTCAGGGGGTAAGGAATGGTGCCCCTGGCCTCTGTTTGTCAAAGGTTGGAGATGGATGGCCAGAGACAAATTGCTTGATCATTGTTTTTGGTCCACCCCCTCTGGGGCACCTGGTACTGGCCACTGTTGGCAGATAGGATACTGGGCTAGATGGATCTTTGGTCTGACCCAGTATGGCCATTCTTATGTTCTTATGATCTCTCATATATCACCTGACTGTATTATGTTTTTGTGCAAACCAAGTACTGTAAAATCGCGAGTATAATGCACACCTATGTATAATGTGCACCCAACTTTTTCAATGTCAGAATCATGGAAACTACTGAACTCCTATATATAATGCGCACCTATATATCAACACTCCTGCCAAAAGGTCCACCAGCATCAAGCCCAGCCTTTCACGCTTCCCAGAGCTGGCCCCGGGCTGCCCGCACGCTGCGCCGAGCTCGCACCTGCCATGGGGTTCCCCCATCCTCTTGGACAGCTGCCCGCACACCACACCTAGCTCACGCCTGCTGCGGGGGCCCTGGGCTCAGCTACCTCCTCCAAGAGCCTCTCCAAGTGGAGGCTCCACCACACCCGCAAACTGGCACCCGCCA